TTTTTTTTTTTAATCCAGACCCTCACTCCCAGGGGGGCCCAGACTCAGAGCTGCCCCAGCTCCCCCTCCGCCTCCGCACCCCCATTCMTCTCACGCCTCCTCATTTCACCCCCACCAGGTCGGACGCCTGGGTCCCTCACTGCTGGGGGAGGGGGAAGCTGGGAGAATTGGGAGCCAAAAGGGCTTTTCTGGGGGGGTGTCGGCGGGGGGGCTGGACATCCCTGCCCAGTGCATCGGAGAGTTGGCCTATCGATCACAGAGGTGAGACCATCTTCTTATTAATCGGAGGTGGGTGGATGTAGAATTCAGGCTCTCTGACCCCCCTRATTCTGAAGAAAGGAGCCGGCCAGCAGAAGAGAGGACAGTGACCCCCTCCTATCCGGAAGCTTTAGAATTGGAGGGTCCCCTGTTCCTTCCTCCTTTGCAGCCGCGGCAGGGCAGATGGAGTCAATGAAGAGTCCCTAAAGCCAAACAGATTGTCCCCAAATTGGCAAAATGAAAAGATCCTCAAATCTTTATTGATGGAGAAATTCCCTCCTTTCCCTCCTCATCCCTTCCTCTCTGTCCCAGGTGGTAGGGGCCCAGCAGTGGGGAGGCACATCCCGGGGTCACAGGCTCACCCTGTGGAAGCAGAGATTAGTCAGGACAGCAGAGGTGGCTGCGCTGGGGGCCAGGGGCTCCGAGAGGCAGGAGAGGGGCTGGCTCTGGCGAGAAAAGAGAGGAAGGGGCCAAGACCGAGCACCAGGACAGAGGCTAGGGACACCACGTCCAGCGTGCCCAGGGCCCAGGAGGGGGCTGTGTGGGCAGGCGGGAGTTGCAGTGGGGGAGGGAACACATGTGTGGGGCACTAGGCCCCGTTGCTATGGAGACGCCCCCCTAGACAACCTTTCTCAGCAGCCCCTCCTGGGAGGACCCGGGTCTGGGGCCAGCTGATGGGGGGTGGAGAGCCAGAGGAAACTGGGAGGCCAAGGTCACCCCGCAGGGGGACCTAGGTTTGGGGGTTGATTTCCCCTCCTGTAAGGCTGCCCGGCTCCTTACTCTAGGGGGACTTGAGGAAGAAGTCTAGGAAAGTGGTGGAAACAGCTAAAGGACACATGGCCGGGGGGAGTGGGTATGGTGGCGTCAGGAGGCTGGGGTATGGTGGCATGGTGGTGGGGAGCTGTGAGAGAGAGAAGTGAATGGACAGTGGGGGGGCAGAGTGGGCAATTGTTCCCAGTTGAAAAGAGAGTTGTAGTCTTGCGGATCCCATTTTTCTGAGGGTGCAGTGGATTAGAGGATCTTTTTAAGTCTGGAAGAAGTTGGGGGCTTCTCTGTAAGTTCCTGCACATGTGAAATGGCCGTGGGGGATGATGTGGGGGTGTTCCCAAGAAGGACAGTCCATGGGGGCAGAGGAGAGGGTCTCCCTTTTGGCGGAGATGCTAGGAGCTAAAGAGGGTGAAGCTAGCAGACCAGAGTGAGGGGACTGTTCGTGGTGTAAGAGAAGTTGGGAGGGCGCTGCTTCCTTGAACCTGAAAGAGAGCAGGGTTCCAAGTGAGTTGGGAGAGCCAGAGCGAGCCGAGGGATCCTCTGTGATGCAGATGGTGAGCTTCTGATGGGGGCTGAGGGCATGGGCCATGGTGCAGGGACAGAGGACCAGGGCCGGTGCATGCAGGGGTTAATTTTGAATAACGGTGGTTGGTGCACAGGTCAGGTATTGGGACTTTCCTGAATGGAGARAAACTGGGGTTTGGAGGAAGCAGGTGTTGTGGGCAGAGACGCTCTGGAGCTCAAGGTGGGGGGTGGTCATAATGGAGAAGGATGTGATGGTTATGAGTTAATCTAAGTTGTAGAGGTAGCAGGGCCAGATTTGGAAGACTTTGTTAAGCAAAGGAGAGAGTGGGGAGCTCTCTTGGAGTCAAAGACAGAACTGGGGAGACATGGGGTCGTTGGAGGGGATGTGACTGCCAGGGAGTCACATCCTAAACCGGGGGGTCTAACCTAGCCTGCACGTTCCACTTCCCCAGGGAGTTTTAAAAAATCTAGATGTTTGGCSGCTCCAGGCCAATTAAGAGGAATTTCCCAGGTGGGACCCAGATATTMGAATTTTTAAAAATCCTCTGGAAAGGTGTGTTTGAGGCTGCAAACCTGTGTCCTGAGGCACAGGGGCTGGGAAGGGAAGGGGAGTGAGTGGTAGTGGTCCGGTTATCCTGGCTTGTGCAAATAATGAGGGTCACTTGGGAAAGTTGTGTTTTTTGTTTGTTTGTTTGTTTTTTAAGCTGAGGTGGGATTGAACAATCTATTTTTCCTAAGTAGAGGAAATTGTAGCAGTCATGTCAGGCTTATGGAGGGTATTTCTCCAAAGAAGAGGTGGAAGTGGAGGGACTGGGGATTCCCAAATTGTGGAGATACTTTAGGCAAAGCCTGGGTCAGGGGGGCATTTCCGGAGGCTTCCCAGCCATTGCAGAGGTGGGACGCGCAGGGAAGAGGAGAAGATCTGTACGGAGAAGGCCTTGGGGAAGGTGGGGGGTCTTGACAGAAAGGAGGAGGGTCAGGCCTTGCTTGGGAGGRGGAGGCTGTGGGGCCCGGGTTGGGTGGCTTCCAAGCGGGAGGACAGTGGCCCGCAGAGAGCAGCTCTCAGGGTATAAAACCTGGCTGGGGGATCTCTCCCAGTGACTCKTGGACTTTGGGGGGCAGGAGACAATACTTGAGGAGGGTTTCCTTTCCAGGGATGGGGACGARGGTGGAAGGAGTTTCTTCAGGGGGCACAGTCTTTCCCCGGCGGGCGCGGGGGAGGGCTGGGAGAACCTCGGTGCCATCTAATCCCTTCTCTCACCCTGCCCTCCCCAGCCGGAGACCATGGCCCTGCCCTGACCCCTGCCCCGCCGCAGCCTCCTGCTCGCCGCCCCCGCCCGCCCCGCCGGTTCCCGGCCCCCCTCTTCTGCCTGCGCTGTGACCCCCCCCAGCCGCCGGCACGGCCCCGCCCCCGCTGCCCCGGTGGTGGCCCACGGCCCCCCGGCTGCCCGTGGTCAAACTGGAGTCGCTGAAGCGCTGGAACGAAGAGAGGGGCGTCTGGTGCGAGAAAGGCGTGCAGGTGCTGCTGACCACGGTGGGGGCCTTCGCGGCCTTCGGGCTCATGACCATCGCCATCAGCACCGACTACTGGCTGTACACGCGCGCGCTCATCTGCAACACCACCAACCTCACGGCCGGCGACGACGGCCCCCAGCACCGCGGGGGCGGCGGCGCCTCGGAGAAGAAGGACCCCGGGGGCCTCACGCACTCGGGCCTCTGGAGGATCTGCTGCCTGGAAGGTAGGGTGCGGGAGGGCCTGCCGGCCGCCACCGCGCCAGCCCTGCGCTGGCGCCCCGTCGGGCCTCCGGAGCGTCCCTGCTCCGCCCCACTCCACCCATTCTGCCGCCGCACCTGGCCCAGCTGAGCTCCTCGGCCTCGGCCCGCCTGCCCTCGCCTCTCTGCGCGTTGGTGCCCCCTTCCTCAGGGGAGCCCCTTAGCTCATCTTTCATTCATTCTGTCCCCCCCCCCCCCCCCCCCTCTCTGCGCGTTGGTGCCCCCTTCCTCAGGGGAGCCCCTTAGCTCATCTTTCATTCATTCTGTCCCCCCCTTCCCCCCTCCCAGCACCCCTCCCTCCGCCCTCCCTCTCCCGCACTCGCTGGGACCTCAACCCTCCTCTCTTTCCTCCCGCCCTTAGTTTGACCCTTCTTCTCCTCTAACCCGCCCCATCCCATCTGCCCCTGGCCTCCTGCATCCTCCCCCTTCAACGCTCCTACCCCTCCGAATCCACGCCCCTTCCTCCACCCCGGCTTGGCCTCCTCTTGGGACTTCGGCTTTACCTGGAATGGAGGTGTGACTCGGGGCCCCTCCTCTTCTCCCCCTGCCACCTTCCTCCTGCAGGTCTGTCTTCCATCTGCAGCCCCAACGACTTCTCCAGACTCCCAGGGTGTCCTTTCCTGCTTTCCCTTCATCTTCCCTCCCCTGTGCCTTCTACTTCTTCCTCTGCACATTCCTCCACTCCTCCTCCTCCTCTCCTTCCTGCTCCGTCTTCCAACTACTACTACTACCACCACCACTGTCTCTCCTTCTCTTTGTGGCACTGAGGATGGAACCCGGAGCCTCACTATGCCAGGCAATCACTCCACCCCGGAGCTGCATCCCTGACACTCTTCATTTTATTTTGAGGTGGTCTCACTAAGTTGCCCAGGCTGGCCTTGAACTTGTGATCCTGCCTCAGTCTCCTGAGTCACTAGGATTGCAGGCATGCATAGCTGGATTCCTCATTTCTAGACTGTACAGTTTCTCTCTCCTGACCTTGGTCCTCCTCAGATCCCCATCTTGATTCTTTTCCTTTGGGCTCCTCTCTTTCCCCTTGCTAGGTCCCCGTGCTCCTCTGGGCTCCACTCTTTCTCCTTGCTAGGTCCCCGTGCTCCTCTGGGCTCCTCTCTTTCCCCTGCTAGGTCCCCGTGCTCCTCTGGGC